ATGAAGCAACAACCTGAAAAATAAAACACAATAGTAAAAATGTCAAATAAAACATTATATTCTGAATGATGAAAATGATGACTGTTCATCTAGCTTAAAACATGAGCCTCTGATACATAATATAACAATTATATAACTATCGTACTACAGTTAACATATGTTAACTAACATTTTGACTAATACAGTCATGATACAAGTAGTTGTCCAGAGAGAGAGAGATCACCTTTTACTCCATTCATCCTTGATACCAGTTAACATGACATCATGATACAAGTAGTTGTCCAGAGAGAGAGATCACCTTTTACTCCATTCATCCTTGATACCAGATGACATAACATCATGATACAAGTAGTTGTCCAGAGAGAGATATTACCTTTTGACTCCAATCATCCTTGATACCAGTTGACATAACATCATGATACAAGTAGTTGTTCAGAAAGAGAGATCACCTTTTACTCCATTCATCCTTGATACCAGTTGACATGACATCATGATACAACTTATCTAATTGTCCAGGGAGAGATATTACCTTTTGACTCCAATCATCCTTGATACCAGTTAACATGACATCATGATACAAGTAGTTGTCCAGAGAGAGAGAGATCACCTTTTACTCCATTCATCCTTGATACCAGTTGACATGACATCATGATACAACTTATCTAATTGTCCAGGGAGAGATATTACCTTTTGACTCCAATCATCCTTGATACCAGTTGACATGACATCATGATACAAATAGTTATCCAGAGAAAGATATTACCTTTTGAATTCAATCATCCTTGATACCAATTCACATAACATCATGATAAAATTTTAAGGCTTTTGATACAAGTTATCTTGTTGCTCAGCAACAACTAACTGGATAATGATAACACAAATTTGCAGCTTTGAAATTTGAAAATATTTTATTGTCATATGTTTTCTTAAGAAACAAAAATGCTTACCTTTGTTCTAAATCTTAATTACTGACTTTTGTGTCATTCTATGTTCTTTTACAACCTTTTTGTAAAGTTATTATTTTATAAAAACTGTAATTCTTATGTTTGTTTGATTCAAAACACACTGTATACATCTTCACTGTACAATAAAAATAACTTCTTTTTTTCTATACTAAAATTCTAAGCAAGTTAAATTTTTCAGTTGTTAATTAGAAGGTTTAACTTATGTATGTAATAAGTATCAAATCCATTTGTTAGTAATTTAGATATTCCTTTTTAGCATTGACCAACATACTAGGCCATGTTTACATTAGATCTTATCAACCTAAGTCACTGCTTAAAGTTTTGTTTTACTGACAAGGCCACTGTTTTACATTTGACTGTATCAAATGATTTAACAAAGCTTACCTTATCTTGTTCCACACAAAACATCTATTTTACATTATGATACAACATCATAATTCTAGTCAAGTATAAAAATGTAAACCAGGTTTAAAAAATCAGGACTATGAATGTGGTAGAAATCATCAACAAACATTTTTTCTTCAAGCAACGTATCATCAAGATAAGCTTTTATGATCTTTCTACGATCTCCAAGGAAACCTCCACTGAACTGAAACCCATATTGACTTACATAACAAAAAAAGAGCTTTCATTGGATATTCAGATCACCAGCTCAAAGTTGAAATATAGGCAGTTCCAGCACATCATGACAAATGTGGTTGAGAAAACGCTGGTGGTAAAAACCAATAATACTACACTTGTGTTCAAGTTACAAAGACGAATTAGATCTATCTCGTTCAAAACTACAATGTGCTACAAGTGCTATATTATGTTCAAAAACAATTCAGGAAATTTACATACACTAACATTTTGTTTTGAAGTTGCTAAAATCACCCAAAAATTAAAATTGGCAATTTTTAAACATTTTTATGTGTGTATCGAATAAATGATGCTTTCCGAATACATTTCAACATCAAAGTTTTTGTTGTTATAAATGTGTGGAGAAAGGCTGCAAACTTATTTTCTATAATGTTTTTTAATTCACTGGTGAAATTCTGCTCTCGAAACTAGATGCACCCATCTGGGAAGAATACAGTTAACAGATTCATTGACTGCTTAGCAAAAACTATTTCATAATTCTAGTATTAAAAGCAAAACTTCCTTATTATCTAGCCAAACTTAATGACTGTCAAGAAGTGACAACATTTATTACATGTATACATTCCTCATGAGCAATAGCTTTGCCTCCACACATATATAAAACAGGGAAAAGTCTACCTGAGAACATCCAAAAAATCTTCTACCATCAAGTCCTGCCTCAGATGTGCTACTTCTGCAATGTTGTTCTGAAAAATACAAAGAAACTCATTCTACAGCTTCACAGTAGACATCCTTATCATAGTGTACTGAAATAAATGCATAATGTCTATTTTAAAAAACTAGGAAAATACTAAGACTTCATATTCCACTTAAGTAAGATGTTTCTGATCTATCTAAATAATTATTTAATTCAGTCATTTAGAGTTCTTGGCACATTAAAGAAATAAAGTTTAGGAATATATTTTCACACAATGTGAAAGAATACATTTGAAGATATTGCAAAAATCATTACATTTCCTATAACACCGAGAAAAGAAATTAATGGTTTATTTGAACAAACTGTGAATTGATTTTTATATCAGTGAGAGAAATGGTTACTGGCTTATTTTATAAATTCTATTATCATATTCCCTGCACTAGTGAAGAAAGATATCACTGATCTATTTTAACAAATGTGAAATTGTTAAATTTTGTAAGGAAATATAATGAGAGGTTATTAATTGTATTAATATATTGAGAAAATGTTAAAATATACATACCACAAGACCTAACACTTTGGTTTCCACTGCACTCTGTCCTTGGAATTTCTATAGAATAAAAGTGACATATTCTTATCCAATGCTGGACTGATCTTAGTACACATCATATTTTCAACAGTTTAAATACTACCATAACATAATGTACCATAGTTATCATGAAGACTTGAATCAAAACAATGTATAACTACAATTACAGTAGAGATATATATCAAAACAATGTACTACTAATGCTACAGTATGATATTGTATTATACAATGTAGTACTACAATTACAGCAGGGAACTGTATCAAACAATGTAGTACTACAATTACAGCAGGGAACTGTATCAAACAATGTAGTACTACAATTACAGCAGTTAACTGTATCAAACAATGTAGTACTACAATTACAGCAGTTAACTGTATCAAACAATGTAGTACTACAATTATAGTAGGGAACTGTATTAAACAATGTAGTACTACAATTACAGTAGGGATATATATATCAAAACAATGTACTACTAATGCTACAGTATGATACTGTATTATACAATGTAGTACTACAATTACAGCGGGGAACTGTATTAAACAATGTAGTACCACAATTACAGCAGGGAACTGTATCAAACAATGTAGTACTACAATTACAGCAGTTGATACAATTCCCTGCTGTAATTGTAGTACTACATTGTATAATACAGTATCATTAGTAGTACATTGTTTTGATATATATATCCCTACTGTAATTGTAGTACTACATTGTTTGATACAGTTAACTGCTGTAATTGTAGTACTACATTGTTTGATACAGTTAACAATGTAGTACTACAATTACAGCAGGGAATTGTATCAAACAATGTAGTACTACAATTACAGCAGGAAACTGTATTAAACAATGTAGTATTACAAATACAGTAGGGAACTGCATCCAACATTGTTGTACTACTGTTGCATCAAGGCTCAATATCAAAACAAAGTACCAATAAAGCTACAGTATGGAACTGTATTATACAATATCCTACTACAGTTACAGTATGGAAGTGTATCAAACAACACAATACTACAGTTACAGTACAGAAGTGTATCAAACAACATGATACTACAGTTACAGTACAGAAGTGTAACAAACAACATTGTACTACAGTTAAAATATGGAAGTGTAACAAACAACATAGTACTACAGTTACAGTAAGGAAGTGTAACAAACAACATTGTACTACAGTTAAAATATGGAAGTGTAACAAAACATAGTACTACAGTTACAGTAAGGAAGTATATCAAACAACATTGTACTACAGTTAAAATATGGAAGTGTAACAAAAACATAGTACTACAGTTACAGTAAGGAAGTATATCAAACAACATTGTACTACAGTTAAAATATGGAAGTGTAACAAAAACACAGTACTACAGTTACAGTAAGGAAGTATATCAAACAACATTGTACTACAGTTAAAATATGGAAGTGTAACAAAAACATAGTACTACAGTTACAGTAAGGAAGTATATCAAACATGGTAATATAGTTACAGTACAGCAGAGCTGTATCAAACAACACGGTATTACAGTTACAGTACAGAAGTGTATGAAACAAGATGGTATTACAGTTACAGTACAGAGCTGTATCAAACAACACGGTATTACAGTTACAGTACAGAGCTGTATCAAACAACACGGTATTACAGTTACAGTATAGAGGTGTATCAAACAAAACGGTACTACAGTTACAGTACGGAAGTGTATGAAACAAGATGGTCTGTAACTGTAATACCGTGTTGTTTGATACAGCTCTGTACTGTAACTGTAATTACAGAGCTGTTTCGAACAACACGGTATTACAGTACAGAGCTGTATCGAACAACATGGTACTATAGTTTCAGTAGTAATTATACCAAAATAATGTAGTTCTAGAGAGGGTTGAGTACATTAAATAAAAATGATTTTGTATATGCAAATAAGAAAGTCACAGGACAACTACAGCCAATATAAATTCATGGTGGAACACCAAATATCAGAACTAGTTTGACATTTCATAGGTAGTGTAATGCTGCTGAAAATTGATCATTTTTGATAATGGTACATAACAGTCCTTTTCTGGTGCAAAATATTCATACTCTCAGATCATAAATATGTTAAAATTGGTAATTAAGAATTTTCGCGACAGAGATATTCCTTATAATTAATGGCATTGGAAAACTAAAGAAATATGGATCAACATGAGGAACCAGGATAATCCAGAAAGAGATCTGCAAAAAGTCATACCCCAGCCATGGAAAGCAAATGGTGGCATTTTGTAACAGGTGAAGATCCACAAACACAAAGGTCAGTAGCAAAAACGTCCACATGCCTTAGCCAACAGTACAAATAATAATGAAGAAGGATCTCCATGTGGAAAAGTGACACAAATAATTTTCATTTTATAAAACTATATATTCAAAAATATTACAGTTTCACTATATTCATGACCACACCAAAATTATAAGCAAGTCAACTTTTATAATTTTTTTTTTTTTACAATTCATAATCAGAAGGTTTCGTTTAATATATGTAATAAGTTTTAAGACTATTTTATTTATTTTGCTTTACATTTCTTCTTGTCAATGTTCTTTGTCCAATGAAGCAATTACTTAGGCCAATATGACTGCATGAAAACAAGGCCTAATGCAGCAGCCTTCTTAGTGAAATGAAACTTAATACAGTTAAGGGCAATACAGAGCTGTGTGACGAACTCGCTTAACCAACATAACTGGTTATGTAGGAGAATCAATTGAATCGATCAGTATCCCACAAAATAATAGATCAATAGAAACTACAAATAAATTGATTAATGTCACAAAAATAATCAACTAATCAAAATTAGTGTTTCAAGTTATTTCTGTTTTGAATATTCCAACTGTCCAAGTCTCAGGTGAGAATAATTAATTAGTTGAATGTAATCAATTAATGAGCTAAACTCAGCTCCAGTGCAAAATGATTCAACTACGCATTACCTCATTTTGTTCCAAAAGAAATATTCCTATATTATACTTCAACATCATAGTTGAAATCAAATATAAAATGATAAAACAAGATTTTTTTAAAAAATGTCAGCAAAAGTTTTTCAGAAAGACCTTTTTTTTTAGCAACATATCCGCAAGCTAAGCTTTTACCACTTCATTCTGAACTCTACACATATCTCTACTGAGATAAGGGAGCTCAGTACGTATTTTAGGTGACTTGGCAAACACATTAGTTGATATACTTATGTAATTCTTACTATATTCAGATTGATCTGAAAGTTATTCTTAAACCTAATTTGAGACTTAATAATGTTTTCTTCTACAAGTAACATGTGCCAATTGCCCATTGTTCATGTCTCATCTATTTATACAGGTGCAGAGACTGTAAGGCCTCTTATATTGGTGAAACTAAACGTCACTTCAAAGTATGAGCATTTGAACATAGAGTATATCTATAAAAACTGGAAGTTACAAACTCTCCCAACTCCACTATCTACCAACACAATCCAGAAAAAGGGCATCTGTTTCTCTCTCCAACTTTGAAATACTCTTAACAGCTAAGCATGATACTGAACTTCTAATAAAAAAAGATGTTATACATAAAATATCTTCTTCCATATCTAAATAATACACATTCTTCATTTGATTTAGAGCTTTTTTAATAAGAGCTATTTCATTTGTGCTACATGCTTTTCTTTTTCTCCTGTTCTTCTTTTTTCCATTCAGATTGCTTACTTATTATTTATTACAGATAATGTCATATTTATGGTGTAATTACCATTATGTTTTGTTGTGTATTTCTACCTTACTGGAGATGGAATTTTGAAGATTCTCAAAAGTTTAATAAATGCCTCATATAATAACGCTAGTTTTGAAGTTACAAAAACGAATGAGCACTAGTCTGTTCAAAACTATTATAAATTTACCCTTAGTGGGCTACAAGTAAAAACGGTCAGCAAAAGTTCAGGAAATTCAAAAACACTTTGAACGTTTAGCATTTTTTTAATGTGTGGACAAACGACAGTAGGTTTATTTTGTATAACTATCTGGGATTGTCAGTATAATGTACTCAACCCCTTATATACTTACAATAAGAAATTTTATCAAAGAACGTGGTACTAGAGTTATATGAAGGCTCTATATAAAAATAATATGGTACTGTTATTATTCTTGTCATAAAACATTAGTACTAGAAAACCAAAAAAGTGGGAAAAAATCAAAAGGTGTTCACACCATAACAATGTGATACTATAGTTAGAGTAAGGAAGTGCACAAAAATAATGTAGTATTATAACTACACAAAGAAAGTCAAACAATGCAGTACTATAGTTAGAGTAAGGAAGTGCACAAACATAATGTAGTATTATAACTACACTAAGAAAGTCAAACAATGCAGTACTATAGTTAGAGTAAGGAAGTGAACAAAAATAATGTAGTATTATAACTACACTAAGAAAGTAAAACAATACAGTACTATAGTTAAGAGTAAGAAACTCTATCAAAAAATATGGTACAAAAGTTACAGTAAGAAATTGTATCCCAAAAGTAGTACTATATTTACTACAAGTTTCTATATCAGAGAAATGCAATATGAACATTTTATCCATTGTAAATACAAAGTTTCCTTATGATTCTGCCTCATATTTTAGTCTATTAAACAACTGAAATAACTAAAGAAAGCTTTAGATCAGATTAATTTCATGTAAAAAATAAAAAGTTAATTGCTACAAGATCTTATAAATACTGATAACTTTATCAGCTACAATAAAGTTGCTATCAAATTTAAACATATCACAGCTACACCAAGAAGCTTCTAACAAAATATAAAAAATGCCATTAAGTTCACCAGGTTCTAACAAAATAACACAAAAAATCAGTTAAGTTCTCCAGTTTCTATAAAGTTAACACACCAAAATTTAAACAGCTGTTGACTACAAAATGTTGACATGTTGAGGAATGACAGCACCAAAATTAAAACAGCTGTTGACCACAAAATGTTGACATGATGAAGAATGACAGCACCAAAATTAAACCAGCTGTTGACCACAAAATGTTGACATGATGGAGAATTACAGCACCAAAATTAAACCATCTGTTGACCAGAAAATGTTGACATGATGGGGAATGAGAGTACCAAAATTAAACCAGCTGTTGACCACAAAATATTTACAAGGTGGGGAATGACAGCACCAAAATTAAAAGAGTTTTACTACATAATGCTGATAAGGTGGGGAACGATAGCACCCAAGTTAAAACAGCTGTTGACCATAAAATGCTGACATGGTGGGAATGATGGTCTTATCTTATCTAGCATTGTTTGCCTACCTAAACTTCAAGCCTTCCTCTTCTTCATAGCAACTTTCTATTTTCAGCTCGTGATATTCACAGCTTTCCTGGATGCCTTGAGGTTGTACATTAGTCAAGCTACCTCATCTTAAGACATCTAATCATGCCTGTTAACATCTCAGCCGCTAGCCAAAAAACCATTAAATTCACTGAAATATTAAACTTATATCCCACAAGCAGGGTGAAAAGAAAACAGTTTCTGAGCACCCCTGGTTGTCTGCCAATCCCCTTTGGGACTTGTATGATTTTCAAACCAAGATTAATAGATAGAATGATGGCACCTATTAATTTTGTTTCTATCTCATCACATAAGTATTCAATAGAAAGTGCATTATATGCTCACACATGTTAAGAAGTTTAACTTTACCTTCAAAACTTTCAAAAACAAATCCAGTCCTTTCATATCTAGGAAAACAGCACACGTACTTGGAGATTCGTCTGCAACAGACAAGTGTAATAATACAAAATGTTAAAACATTATTCTTCAATAGATGGTAGGTCAGAAAACAGTAATCCCACATAAAAACAGTAAACGATAATTCACCTGTTAAGTTCCATAAGGCGCTTAAAGTAAACTTCATCATTATGTCTACTTCAGGTTCATCCATTTTGGACTGGACAATATTCAACAGTCGTTCCATGAAAGAAGGCTTGGCACCAAGACATGATGTTTCTGCTGTAGATATCTAAAGGATATGGAAAACTATAAAAAATCAAAAACACTTGGAAATATTTAACATACAATGAGCAACATTAGTTACAACCAACATTCTCATCTTGGATAACTTTTCTCAGATGTTTATCAAGTAATACAGACCTTTATTTAGGCATTTTAAATACATGACCTGAAACTAATCTTACTGTCATTAAATCAACTTGATGTTTAACAAGTAATATAGACCTTTATTTAAGCATTTGTAATACATGGCCTAAACTAATCTTACTGTCATTAAATCAACTTGATGTTTAACAAGTAATATAGACCTTTATTTAGGCATTTTAAATACATGACCTGAAACTAATCTTACTGTCATTAAATCAACTTGATGTTTAACAAGTAATATAGACCTTTATTTAAGCATTTGTAATACATGCCTGAAACTAATTACATTGTCTTTAGCAGATACCTCAACCCACAGGAATATACTAACAAATTCTACATTTGTGTTTATAATAATTAAATTTCCTAATAAAGAAGGAAAAAAAAGATTAAATAATAATGAAATGCCACTTTAATGCACAGTTTTCACTCTTTATTCTCTAAGCTAATTGTTTCACCATTTCCTATGAATTATGAATAAAGATAATTCATGTAAAAATAAATAATAATAATAATCAACGTGGTGTTAAAATAAGTAATTTGATGTTAATAAAACTCAAACTGAATTATGATGTAAAAATGACTCAATTAAAATTGATAAAAGTAAATTTCACTAATTTCATGTAGTTCACACTAAAACAGTTGCTGTTGAAGCAACTGATGATATTAACAATGTCTCGACAACCACTACTGTGTCTGTCATATCCCAGCCAGTCCAGTGAGGCTTGGTATTGGGTGAAAGGCCTCATCAGAACTTGCTATAGCAGGTATAGTGTGATTAACATATTATTACAGCCTTCTTTATTTTTGCTCACAAGTTCTTATAGTCAAGAAAAAATTTAAAAACTTGTCAGAAGACTAGTCAGGCAAACCTGAACTTCAATATTAGAAAAAAAATGTTTTTAATTCAAAAGATCAGATATGCCTAAATTCACAGGAAAGAAAATACACATTGCAAAGAAAGCTGAACAAATTACAGTCTCTATTTGGATTTATAGCTTTCAGCATGTGGAATAAAAATCACTGTAATTAGTAGTTATTAGAACCTGTATTACACATGACACATCAAAACCTTGACTTACTTTTGCTGCTAGAATTGAGCAAATTGCTACCGACATTCTATTCATAGATGGATCATCAAATGCAACAAGGGATTCCATCACCAGCTTTGCACAACGGTATTTGTCAAAACTCTGAAACCAAAATAATTTATTTTTAATACATGTAGATTTTTAAAGTAACTGTACTTCAGGTGTAAAGCTTCACATTTTTAGAATTAAAATAAATTTGAAACAGATGCTTACTTTGGAAATACAAAAAGCCTTTCCTTGTTGAGTTGTTTTCATGTTGTCAAAATGTCAAATTCAAAATTTTATATTTCACCATTGAAATATAAAAAACTAGAATATCCACACTGAGATAGAGGAGGAAACCAGAGAGTCATAAGAACTACTGATTGACCAAAACTTGGGTCTCATATTATAAAAATACAGTATTGTTTTATTATAGCCCCATGGAACAGAGAATAACAGACCTGCTAGAGATTCCATCTGGTCTGATGAATCACAACAATTTTAAAAGCACATTCCAATTGATCCACAAATGATGACCAGGATGCCAAAGATATTGCCAACTGGTGAATTTTGGTGAGAAGTAACCCAAAATTCACTTTTATGATACCTAGTAAACAAAATAGATCAACTGCACAAGCCAATTTGTGAAAGTAGAAAGAATAATATTCAAATAGTTTAATTCACTGTAAAATATAAACAACCTTTTCTGAGGCCCTCTGATATATTTAGTACATGTTAGATAACAATGAACAGCCCTGACAAGACATAAAATGTGTTATCCTGATCGAGAAGCTGAGTCGGTCAGGATAGGTAATACAACAGATGAGAAACAGTGGTTACTTTCTCTCACAGTCCAAGTTCGAGTAGGAAGCCATGAATTGGGTACAAGTATAATGCCTTCCAGGCAGATAAGGTACAAGAAGCATTGAGGGCATATATAAAATAAAGTTGTCTACCTAATGCTACTAATAAAAGAAAATATGATAAAGCAAACAAGTTGCTAAATGTTAAAAAGAAGAAAAAAATTCAAGAAATGTAAAACTCAAACCTCAGTCCCACTTAGGTCAATGTCTAGCAAATCTGGGTCATTCAAGACAAAAGGCTCAGTCCTATGAATAATTGGGACAAAACAAACTGATGGCTTCTGTGGAATCAGAGGGTGGCACATACGGCAGTTTTGTAATCAGCTATGGAAGATGATAAGCCACGGTTATGTAACAAAGACATAAAGATAAGAGCAATTTGTTGAGGAGTTTGATATATACAAGATATGACTTGTCTAATGCACCACTCCAGAATATCACTCAACAAAACTGATAAACAGCCAATGAAGAACATCTGCAAGAATGAGTTAACATTCAAGCCACCTGACAAAGGAACAAACAACAGCCAGTCACAAAGACAAAGACATTGAATGTTTTTGTAAGAAATGGACATTCAAGGTTATCGAAGAAGATGATTCCATGGCAGTAATTAGACTGGTTCCCCAGGAGAAAGTTGACTTAATAAGGTAAAACATGTTGTAATATAAACAATACCCACATAAGAACCATGTTGTAACAAAAACAATACCCACAGTGTTAATGAAGACTGCAAAGCAGACATCTGATCCCAACTAAAAGAATCAGGAGAACAAAATGAGTTAATACTTATGTAGAAGAAAAAGTCTCAAAACAAATGATAGGACACAGAAGAAAACTGATGACTGGTCAACATAAAAGACCACATGGAAGACTCCTCTTCCCCATAACCAATCTAAGTGACAAGAAATTTAGAAATAATATGAGAAGTGAAATATGATGACTATTAATATTTGCTATATTATATATACATCAGCAACAACCTGAATATGAGGAAAAATTGTATGAGTAAAGATTCAAATTCTGAATCATTAACATGACACTAGCACCTTCAGGTGTAACAGAAGTTGGTTAAAGGTTTAAAACAAAACATACATGAGAAAAAGATTTAACTAAATCATCAGAACTTTCTTTAGGATTAGGGCTAGCAGCCATTGAAGGCAAATAGGCCTGAGCAAAAAACTAATCTCATTCAAAATCATGAGAATATTATTGTACAAACTGAGTATCTACTGAGCTTAACTTGCCAGATATACCAGCAGACAATTTGCATTAACAGTCTAAATATGTTGATTAACTCTCTAGTTACAAGTTTGGTTGATTCGACCAACCTCATAACCATTTTGTACTCTTTACAATTTCCATACTATAACTTTTAATATAGTGTGTGTGTATATATATATATATATATATATATATAACTAAATCGTGGCGAGTTACTTTAGACTACACTATTAACTAGTTTCTTTAGTACAAACTAAAATACGATATTTACTTAATAGTAAGTTTATTTTGTAACT